ACACAAATTCATCGTTACCTTACAAGAATTTCAGCAAAGCAAGTTGTATTCTCCCAAGTCAAGTCAGTTACATTTTATAAGCAAACCAATAAAACCCTTCTGCCTTTATCCTTAAGTATTGTATGAGTTAATCTCCCTACCTCCCCCCCAGCTGGAGGAGAAGGTCTATTGGGGGTAAAAGTGAACGCGACACTCCCCACCCAAACGGCTAAGTCACCATGTGTGTGTGTGTCTGTGTGGAGTATATGTGGTTGTGTGTGTTTGTATGGAGTATGTGTGTGTGTGTGTGTGTGTGTGTGTGTGTGTGTGTGTGTGTGTGTGTGTGTGTGTGTGTGGACATATGATAAATGACACTGTTTCCATGAGTGCATATGTTGGCCTCCCTCAGTCTCACTTTTTTCTCCACCAATTCATTGATTACTTCTATTGTACGTACATTACATACATTAATTAAAAGATACATACAGTATTTTTTACATTCATTTTACTACTGTACATCTACAACCATCGTTAGTCAAAGCTTTAATGTACACAAAATTAATACAATAAGCTCTAATACCCACTCATTTCATCCCAAATACTATTGGATAATTGCTTTGGAAAAATCCCTACATGACAACTTTAAGCTGACAGGAATCAGTCCTGTCCATATAGTAGGAGATACTGACTGCACCCCCCCCCCACCAAGAGATCAATCACTACACATACGTGTATATGTAGTTCATGAAACATTAGGCAACTTGTGGCATGATGGATGACTCATTAATGAGTAATACGGTATAAAATCAAGAGATTATCAGGGAATTTTTGGAATATACGTATGTATACAGTATTTGTGAAAAGAATAAAAATAAAAATAATGATTGGTGACAGCACGGGCCAGGAGGCAAGTTGTCCACTTGTCCTCCCTCTACCACCCGTCACCTCCCCCCGTCTATGCACCCAAATCTAGTTTTGTACTGTATCTTAATACTGTACAGTATAATTCATATTCTATTCATATAATTCATGAGTTAGTAATTTATGAGGATGTTTATTATATAAATTATATGTTTTCTTTTATTTAAAATTCAATAAGGAGTAAGGTGAAGGAGGAAGGAAGGGAAGGAAGGAAGGAAGGAAGGAAGGAAGGAAGGAAGGAAGGAAGGAAGGAAGGAAGGAAGGAAGGAAGGAAGGAAGGAAGGAAGGAAGGAAGGAAGGAAGGAAGGAAGGAAGGAAGGAAGGAGGAGGAGGCCAGAGTGGATTTCTCCCCTACAAACGCTGTTTGTCGCTGAGTAGCCGACCCCGCGAATTCCCCAGTGTATGCCTCGTGGTCTAGGTCAACCAGCGCCGCCCACGGAGCGGGGGTCAACTACTAAGCCACGCCTACCCCCGCTATTTAAGACCTGACCTCATGGTGACCTCTCTCTTTCTACCTACATCAACCAGCAAGCAACACCTCCTCCTCCTGCCTGGCGGTCCTCGCTCCTGCCGGCGAGCATGGCGACCCACAAGCTGGTCCTCCTCTGAGCATCCTCACCAACCAGCTCTCTCTACATCACGCTTGTAACCACGCTGCCACTTCCCAGCACCAAGCTGCATTGTACATCCAATACAACATGTATACAGAGAGCACATTGTGAGTTTCCTTTCTCCATCCCATCCTGAGTGTGAACCCAAACATCCCATACCCCACAACCGCACACCCCTCAAGGAGGTTCCTTGTCTCCTCAGGCCTGTCATTACCATTGTAAAAAAATTTTCTTTGTTTTTTATTTACGAATAAAGATAAGTTTACTGTAATAATCTGTACTTATTAATACCTGAACCCTTCATATATAATACAGCACAATACTATATATGTCAGGGCTGTAATGAGCAGGATGGTTGCCTGCCGCTCGTTTGCTTGTTCGCGTCCCCCACTTGGGGGGGAGTAGACTGAGGTGAGAAGGTCGCTGCTGCCTCGTGACACATCAGACACTACCCAGCCAGCTCCACTTCCCCGCTGCTCGTTCAAATTCTGGTTGCGTTCTCATCTGAGGTCTTGGACTTGTGGGCTGATTCCCCAGACCTTCACTATACGGCTGTCAATCTCCGGACACCTACCCCGGCTGCCACATCATTGCCACTTCCTCCACGCCCTATCTCCCGTCCGTGCCCTGGCGTCTCTCCTGTGTGACAAGACCCTCGCCCACCAATGCCGGCGCCAAGTGAGGAAGCTGCCCTGGACCCCCCCCCCCATTGAGAGCTGAGAGCAGATCACGTCTTTACCAGAACCTTCCACCAGGCTGTCGCCGTAGGAAAAATCCTGGATCCTCGTAATTGTTTGACTCCATTAATTGTTTGACTCCCTTAATTGTTTGACTCCCTTAATTGTTTGACTCCCTTAATTGTTTGACTCCTTTAATTGTTTGACTCCCGTAATTGTTATTTGAGTGTGTGGTGTCAGTTTTTGTGTTATTTTCATAGTAAAGAGATGTCAATCTCTAATGGTTGTTTGCTATCCCTCGGAAAACCAAGGTTCTTGACTTTTCTCTTATAAGATCCTGATTAGGCTGGCAAGGGATTTCTACCCCTAAGTCCCAGGCCTTTACAATATAAGCTTTGGGTAGAGCTCCCTTTTACCTTGGCTTATATATAAATAAGTTAAGGGGTTAAGTTACAAACCCAAAATGATCTTTTCTCCATTCATTGATAAACTAAAAAGGTCACAGGCTATGAGTAAAAGCACCGTAATTAACACTGTAAACTGTGAGTGTTAGTTAAGGACAGGGCTCAGCTTGACTGAGTTAAGTCACCCGTCCGATTCTCGTGAGGCTCAAGTGAAGACTAGTGTCCTAAGGGGAGGCTGGGCTGACCCTACATTCTCAAGGTCGGCCTACTCATAGAGAAATTTTCCCTCACATGAACAACACATGGCAACTCACAGCTTATGGAAAATTACCGTGGGGTGATTGTATTATATAAAGTAAATGTATTAACCCAAATTCATATAATTGTTATTGCCATGAGACAAGGGCTAATACAATACTTTTTATAATGTATCAGTACTGTAATGATTAAATAAAAAAACGGTAAATTTGGGAACGGCTAAGCTTACCAGCCACCTACTCTCCTCCCAGTAGAGAGGTCTGGGTGAAAAAATTGCCTTATTATTCGACTTGTCATGTAATTTTGATGTCAAATTAATAATTATATATTGTATTTTTTCTAATTTGTTTAATATTTTATATTAACCATGATAAAACATACATCAAAAGAGGCTGATCATACGAGAATATATAATAATAAATGTTGGAGTGTGTGTTTTGGAGGTGTGTGTGTGTATTGCCTCCCCCTGCCTCCCCTCCCTGCCAACACCTTGCCTCCCCCTGCCTCCCCTCCCTGCCAACACCTTGCCTCCCCCTGCCTCCCCTCCCTGCCAATTGCCAGCCAACACCTTGCCTCCCCACCTCCCTCCAATTCGCAGTATCTCACACAAAAGATTGTATGTATGATGTGGTGTTGGGGTATAGATTAATAAATAATAAACAATATTGATTGTTAATAAAAGTACAGTAGTTTGATGAATAGTAGTGACAATTGTAGTACGCTGCTATTCTTCAAACAGCTGTCATTGATGATACAATATTGCTTATTTATTAATTAATACCACAACATCACACCCAGACACCCCCATATTGTATGACATAAATTTATGCGTGGTTAACTACGTGATGGTGAATTAAATGATCAGCTGTTGAGGAGCTTAGCCCTTGGCAACACTGGTGCATGTTACCACTCCATCTCTCTAATCACCCACAGCTTTCAGCTTTCTCACTCCACATTTTAAAATCTTATGTAATGTAATGTTGAAGGTATACAATGTGATAAGTGTAAGTATAAAAAATACTTTAATTTAGCTTTTATGGTTATTCAAGACATCTTCAGGTACTGACACCTACTAATCCCCCACCCAACAGTGGGTGACCTGATATTGTATCAGGTCAGTAATATGAGACCACCAATACCCCACCCTACCTCCACCTAACATTGTGTCAGGTCAGGCTAGTTACATGAGATCCACTAATCCCCCACAGCTCTAAGGGAGTGGAAAATACTAGTCTTTGCTCTAACACACAGCTTCATTCATGACCATATCATAGAGATTTTTAATTTAGACTCTTGGAAAACTCCCCAGCACACAGAAACATTATGAGGATGTGGGCTAGTGTTTGTCTGTACAAAATGCATAATTTAGACACTTAGAAAGTTTTTCCAGTAACCGGAAAATTTCCGGGGATGGGAATTTTTCCGGGTTTGAGAAAGTCGTCTGGTTACTCGGAAATCTCTCATCCCGGAAGTGCTCTGCACCAATTGTTCCGGCTAATGGGGATATCATTGTACATGTATTAATATTTGATGATGCTAATGCCGATTCTGGTGAGGAGGATGAAGTGCTAAAAACAGACACAAATACACTTAGCTCCCTATGGAGATGGTGTTAGCTGGACTATGTCTGGACAGGCGGAAAGCGAATGGAACCAATTGGTTGATCCTAGAAACTTAAGTAATAACCAATATGAAGTGAGAGGTAGGTTACACACAGGTGACATCACTCTTGTTGTCTTCATGCCTTGATCAGCCGAATTCTATTTCTGAAGTCCCTTTTAGGGCAATGGTTTTAGTGGAAGACATAATTAATTATTGAATAAATTACACCCACCATGTGTCTAGGAGTTTCTCAAGTTATATAACCCTGTCAACCTGATTGGATAGTATATGATTCCCTTAAGACAGATAGAAGGTCATGAAAGGTTGCTCATTACCTGACCACACCTAAATCAAGTCAGGATCTTGGCACCATAAGCGGGAGGTGTTGACATTTTAAGAGTCATATTCAGGGCAAAAGAGAATCCTATATGCAAAAATAAATACACACCTGAATGGGAATCATATAAATTTCCATTTTATTTAATCTAGAATGTCTCAACTATAAATGCCCAATATTAGCATCACATGCGTAACATATTCACACTTACTAGTTGCATTGGCTGTTGTTTTAATGTAACGTATGGAAGAATCCTTCAATTCTCTGATTAGTTCATTATCTTCATTCATTTCTAGTGGATGCGGTCTGAATACCAGCTCTATTTCCCCAGACTCACTGGGTCCTTCAGCCTCTTCCCCAGGGTTTCCATCGTTACTGGATCCTGCTCCTGATTCATTTTCTGATGTTCTCCGTGGCTTCTTCATTTTGGGCCCTATTGTTGAAGATGCAGCATTTGTTGGTGTTGTAACATTTGTGGGAGTTGGAGCATTTGTGGGGGTTGTGGTATTTGCACCACTAGTGTGAGTGGTGGTTGGTGTACTCGGAGGCTCACTGGGGGTTGGGGTAGAGGGTGCTGATGGAGTGGGTGTAGGTGTGGTACCTTCATCTTGCATGGCTTTACGGTTTTTCTGACGGCTTTGGAATTGAAGCTTGATGCCTTCTTCAATTGAAGTTATCAATGAGGCATGATTGTGATTTTTATTGAGTTTGGCAAATACTCGTTCTTGATGTTGCTCATATTCATCACGGCTGGGATAAATCTTGGAGATCAGGGTGTCAAAGTTTGGGTCAGGTCGTAATGACCTCTTTGATACTAGCTTTTTCCGGCAAGTGGGACATTCTTTGTTACCAGATCTTAATGCTGTGATGATACATTCCTGAAAATTAAAGTAACATAATTAATGCCTGTCATATACTAATTCAATAATTACTGTGATTGAGGGCATGATCATGAAATCCCTGTTAATGACTGGTGATAAGTTGTTTTGGTATATTATCCTAAATATGCTTCTGTATATCCAGGATATCTACTTTATCCTGTTTGATAATAGCAACTAGATTAGCTCAGAATGGTAATTAATAAATTTTTCTACCATTATTGCTGTACTTCTCATTTCCATAAGAATCAGATTTCAGATGAAAATGAGTGTTATCATTTAAGACCAAGATAGTTTCCATAAGAACATTATAGAAAATGAACTGCATTTAATTTAAATTTCTTTGTTTATACATTGAGAAAGTCAAATCCTGTTCAACCAAATAACTAACCTTTTGAAGGGTTTTCCTTTTCTTCACTGTGAATTTCATAAACAAACTGTCCACAGAACCCATTGAAAAGTGAATATTATGTACAGGTGAATTCAAGTGAGCCCCAACAACCACCAAATGAGAGTTTTCTACAAAACACTACATACAATCTTAACCCTTAACTACTGTACAGGGTCGTAACTTTTTATATTTCATTTGGCTAATGCAGACGATTTTACTCAGCTCAGAAGGGATCTTGTACTGTACAGGCAATGACCATTATATGATAGGGTTAGGTACCTCAAAAACCATCGATAAGAGATCGACCATACTCGAATACAGTGGTCCCTCGGTTAACGAACGCTTTGGTTAACGAATTACCTTCCATAAGAATCTTCAATTCGGTTAACAAAAAAAATTTGATTAACGAAATCCTTATGAAAATCCCGTTTTATTTTGAACATCACCTGTTAAGCTGAGGGGGTACTCAGCCAATTCAGTAATCTCTTCTATGTTTACATTCATTTCCAATGGAGTAAATATCAAGAAAATTGTCACTTTAATATTTGTGCATTTTTTTATACAGTATTAAAATTATTGGTCATTCTAAAATTTAGCCATCCAAGCTCTGTCAACATAAAGTTTTTCAACTATTATTTTTGGCTCGATATATGTAACTTTATTCATTTACTGAAACTCATTTACATGCATACACTGTCCTAAGGGCAAAGCTGTACTGTACATGTAATCAAAATAATGTACAAAAAATAAATCTAAAATTTTTGTCTAGTGCAAGCTCTGGCATGTTTACATTCAAATTAATCACTATCTTATAAGAATTCCAGCAATTTAAATTATATTCCCCCGTCATTTCTATGCAATTTTATGAGAAAAAAACAAAAACTCAACTAAACGACATAAATAAACATAAATACTTCACCAGACCTTCAGCGCTAACTGTCAAACATGTCACTGTCACCCCCCCCACCCTCCTAGCAAAGGTTTGGTGGTTATACAGTAGGCTTTCAAGTTTTTATCTTATATAATATCACAGACTAAAGTTGGGAGAATATAATTTGCATTGCTGGAATCCTTGCAAGACAGTGAATAATATGAATTGAAACGTCATATATTTTGCACGATAAAAATTTTTGCTCTGTAATAAAATTCTTATATTAGATCTAAAATTTGAATGACTAATGCAAATTATAGCTTGTTTATATTCAAATTAATCACTATCTTATAAGAATTCCAGCAATGTAAATTATATTCTCCCCGGTCACTTCTATGCAATTTTATGAGCAAAAAAACAATAACTCAACTAAAGGACATAAATAAACAAATAAATACTTCACCAGACCTTCGGCGCTAACTGACAAAGTACACCTCACCTCCAGCTCCCCCCTCCCCCCCACGCTCCCTCCCTCTCCTCCATCTGCCCAGCCAGGGTTTTAGGCTAACAGTGTTTATCTTATATAATATCTCAGACTAAAGTTGGGAGAATATAATTTGCATTGCTGGAATCCTTGCAAGACAGCGAATAATTTGAATATAAACGTCATATATTTTGAACAAGAGATAAAAATGTTTGCTCTCTGCAACAAAATTCTTAAATTAGATCTAAAATTTGTCTAATGCAAATTTTAGCTTGTTTATATTCAAATTAATCACTATCTTATAAGAATTCCAGCAATGTAAATTATATTCTGGCCGGGTAATTTATATGAATTTTATGAGCTAAAAACACAAATCTCAAATAAATAAACAAACACCAAACACTGTCACCTCACCTCCCTCTCCCCCTCTTCCCGCTTGCTGGAGGATTGATGATTTCTTTATGCTTTAAGGTGTTTATTTAATATAATATCTCAGACTAAAGTTAGGATAATATAATTTGCATTGATGAAATCCTTGCAAGACAGCGAATAATTTGAATATAAACTTCATATATTTTGCACAAAAGAAAAAATTTTGCTTTCCCTAACAAAATTCTTAAATTAGATCTAAAATTTGTATGTCTAATGCAAATTTTAGGTTGTTTATATTCAACTTAACCACTATCTTATAAGAATTTCATCAATGTAAATTATATTCTGGCTTTACTTTGTATATACTACTGTACTTCTCACTGAGCTGGAACCAATTACCCAATATCCCATTGAAACAATGGTTTCGGTTAACGAACGACCTTCTGGAACAAATTGTGTTCGTTAACCGAGTGACCACTATTATCGGTTTTAGGGCTTAAATCGTTACCATTTGAGTAAATATCAAGAAGGTTGTACTATTCAATAATTTTCCACTTCTTATATTAAATTTTTTAGTCTTTTTAACAATTATTTAACATAATTGAAGTACAGGGAACTAGTTTTTAGGCGCCAAATAGCCACTTGACTCACCCAGAATGGCGTCAGCTTGTGTTTCTGCTCAGTGGGGGAAGCGCCTTGCTTGAGACTCTCTTGAATGTAAATTATTTTTACCTTTTTACAGTACAATTATTGGTCATTCTGAAATTTATTTTACATATTGACAATATATAGTGCAGTGCAGTATTGATTTAAAGAAAACAATCTTGAATTACACCAAGTGAACTTAAAATTTTATGGGTGAAATACGGGCATGAAGCATGGGGTGACTTCTCTTCCACCCCCACTGCCTTCTCTTCTCCCTTCTCCTCCACCTCCACTTCTAATTCCCATCATCATCAAGCAGGAGCCTTCTACATACACACCTCAAAGTAAGTGTACTTTACTGCATTCATTTTTAGTTTGTATGTAATTTTCGGTGAGCTGGAACCAATTACCCAAAATCCCATTGAAACAATGGTTTCGGTTAACAAAATTTTCGGTTAACGAGTGACCTTCTGGAACGAATTGGTTCGTTCCAGAAGGTTGCTCGTAAACCAAAAATTCGTTAACCGAAACCATTGTTTCAATGGGTTTTAATTGGTTCCAGCTCACCGAAAATTGCCTAAAGTCAACAAATAAGGTAGTAAAGTACACTTACTTTGAGGTGTGTATGTAGAAGGCTCCTGGATGATGATGCTAATGTGAATTTGAAGTGGGAGGTGGAGGAGGAGAAGGGAGAAGAGAAGGAAGCGGAGGTGGAGGAGAAGCATTTTACTGCTTCCTGGAAGGTGAGTCACCTTCCATGAAAATGTCAGGAACCTCTGGACTGACAGATTCGCCAGCGGGAACATCCTCTCTCCTTCTTGAAGTGGAAGGTCGAGAGCTAGCATCTTGTTCCCGCTGCCTTTTAGTGAAGAAACTGTTTTTTTTTTTTCTGTGGGGCATCTGTCCTCATCATTAACTGATGTTTGAAGGAGACCACTGTGTCCTCAACATTACACAAAGCTAGTTCTGATTTTTCCACATCTGGGTGCCTTGAAGCCAGTTTCCTGAACTTCTCCCAGTGGTCAACAACATCTTTCAAATCTGAAGATGACACATGGTCATCACTTTCCTTTTCCTCCTCACCACTGTCAGCCTCTAACATCTCATCCAGTTGCTGCAATTCTTTAGGAGTAAGTTCCTGCTCATAAGACATCACAAGCTCTTCTACATCCTCCTCCTCCACTTCAAGGCCCAATGACTGACAAATGGACACAATCTGCTGGTCCAACTCTGCTTCCTCCTGAGTCCCTCAAAATCATGGACTACTGATAGCCACAGTGCTTTCCATGCAGAATTGAGGCATCTAGTGGAGACTTCTTGCCATGAGGACACAATCAATTTTACAGCCTCCAGGATGTTAAATTGTGTCTTCCAGAACTGTGCCAGTGTTAGTTCAGGATCAGTGGAAGTTGCCTGATGACACCTCCTGAACATTTTCTTCATGTACAGCTTCTTAAAGTTGCTGATCACATTCTGGTCCATTGGCTGTATGATTGATGCAGTGTTGAGAGGCAAAAACAACACTTTGACAAAGTCAAATTGAGACTCCAAAGTGCTGGCAAGTTGAGGGTCATGACCAGGGGCATTATCCATAAGGGGAAGAGGCCATGCATGAAAGAGCTGTCTTGTTACCCATGCCTTACGGTTGGACTTCCAATAAACTCCAAGCAGTCCTCTTACCACTTTTTGTTGCTTGAACACCCTGGGGTTGTCAGAGTGGTAGACAAGCATAGGCTTCAGTCGGAAATCCCCTGAAGCATTGGCACCAAGCAATAGAGTGAGACGGTCTTTCATGGGTTTATGCCCAGGTAAAGAGGCTTCATCTCTGGTGATGAATGTCCTTTTGGGCATTTTTTTTCCAGAACAGCCCAGCTTTGTCCACATTGAACACTTGCTGTGGAAGATAATTTCCTTCATCCATCAGTTCTTTAAACTCCACTAAAAATTTTGATGCTCCTTCCTTATCAGCACTAGCAGCCTCACCATGCCTAACAGCACTAAAAATGTCACTTCTTTTCTTAAATTTTTCGAACCAGCCCTTGCTGGCCCTAAACTCTTCAAAGTCTGTGCCTGAAGAACCAGGCTGATCTGTCTTTAAATGTTCGTAAATCTCCCTTGCTCTTTCACAAATAAATTCGGTCGAAACTGAATCAACTTTCATTTGTTTTTCCCTAATCCAAATGAGAAGTAACCTCTCTGTTTCTGCTATTAGGGATCTACCTTTAAACACTCTGGTAGATTTGTCTCTCACTTTCACTTCCTTGAATTTGTCTTTCTGTGCAAGAATTGTCGACACGGTTGATGTCAACATGCCATATTCTTTGCTAAGCACATTTGTTCTAATGCCTTCTTTGTTTCTTAATAATTTTCTGTTTCACCTGGATTGAAATTGCTTTTCTTGATTTCTTGGGACCCATGCTGGATTCCAAAAAATTTTCAACACGTGATATTTTAAGTTTAATAGCTGTAAATAAAGAATATTTTTTCACTGCACTGCGCTATATATCATCAATATGTAAAATAAATTTCAAAATGACCAATAATTTCACTGAAAAAATGGAAAAAATCGTTTAAGTTGAAGAGAGTCTGAAGCAAGATTTTACCTCCACTGAAAAGACACAGAGACTGACGCCTGCATGGTGTGTTGACAGGCTGTTTGGCGCGCTAAAAACTAGTTTCCCTGTACTTCAATTATGTTAAATAATTGTTAAAATGACTAAAAATTTTAATATAAGACTTTTAAAAATATTGAATAGTACAAACTTCTTGATATTTACTAAAATAGTAAGGAATTTAAGCCCTAGAACCGATTACTGTATTGGCGGACTAATACGACAGCTAGTGTGCAAGCGAAAATATGTTGAGGGGCGCTCGTAAGGAATTCGTTAATCGAGGGATTGCTCGTTAACCGAAGTTAAGAATCTTATGGAAGGTAATTTGTTAACCGAGGCGCTCGTTAACCGAGGGATCACTGTACTCAAATTAATCACCATCGTGCAAGGATTCCAGCAATGCAAGATATATTTTTCTACATCAAGTCAGTAACATTTTACAAGGAAACAATATTTAACCCTTTGCACCACAAATCTCTTCCTTCACTTGTCAGCCTACCCATGTGCCGCCACACGACCAACCCGCGCACTACAGTCCTTACCTTGGTTCTTTGTCGATCGTAAACCCGCCATTGTATTGATCCACGATTATCGGCCAGTATCGTACATTGTACTTATCATTGTTTTCTTCCCTTTATATAGTGAGAGGACAGCACTAACCTTTATACAGTATTGAAATGTGTTATGGTGACTGTGAAGTGATATTTTCTGTGTTTTTGTAACTGTAAAGTGCGTCAACTGTTGTTTTGAAATGTGTGCAGTGTCGGCTGCTATCATTGTTTTTGTTATCATCCTTCGCTTTGTTTTTGTGACAAGTGCTTTTGCTCTGTTTCAGTTACTGTGAAGTGAGCAGTGTAACTTTGAAAATGTCTGGGAAGGCCAAGGCATCCAAGACAACCGTGTCTCTGAGGTGAAGCTCGACACTGTGAAGCAGTATGAGGCTGCCCAGAGGCTGTGTGGGAGTCAGAGTGACGTCTTCACTCCACCTACACGAGTCACCTTAGCCTCGAAGGGGACATGTGATGATAACCAGGCTTATCCAATATGATGTGGTGAGTGCTGTTTACTTGTTTTGTACTGAGAGTAGTATTGTAGGAGTTTTTTGTTGGTAATACATGTGTGTTTGGGGACTGGCTGGGAATGTATACCATTAATTCTCATGTTATAATGCTCCATTGTATCTTGAGGTTTACCTGTGCTTAATGGAACTGATAATAATAAATATAATTAAGAGGAAATTTATGAGGAAAAATGCACTAAAAGATAAATGAGAATGTGAAACAAAGAATTACAGTACAGTACTGTACAGAAGAATCCTACTTAGTCAATTCTGTTTGCCACTATTTTGTTATTATGTTGCTGATGAAGTAAGTATGTTTTTTTTAATGCCAGGTCCCACTGACTGTTGGACACCTCCTGGTGAAGTGCCCAATTCTCTGAGATCTTCGTCGTAAGCACCTCTCCCAGTGCCAGGAAGGGGAGACGAGTCTTACCGTCTCTCTTTGGTGCTGGGGGAGGGAGTGGGTAGCATGGGAGGGGATGTCCTCTCCTTCATGGAGGAAGCCGGCCTTCTATACAAGCTTTGAGTTTTATCTATTAATGTTTAAATGTTTTTATGAAAGTTTGATGTTATTTATTACTTATGTTTTTTACCTTGCTATTGCGTTGTCAGGGATGTAATTACCTCACTCAATCAAGTAGAGGCAGTGTCTGCTTAGTGTCACTTTGTTTCATTAAAATGTTTTTGGCTGTCATATGCAAGCATATAGCTATACAATACTTCATGATGTAGTGCAGGCTCATGCAGAGGACCCGGCCTCTGTCAGGGTGGTTGAAGGCATCAACGGGAAATTGTTCATAAATATCTTAGAGAATATCCTGAAGAGTATCTCTTGTATGCATAGAAACTAATCTAATGGCTTGTCATGAAATCTTATGGTTCTTGAATGACGGATTACGATATCTTTCCCTAATATCTACCTCAGCAAACCCATGAGGAGGTTAATCAAGTAATTAAACAACAGAAGAAACACTAACCTGGCAAAACCGATGAAGGCACTCCTTTGTGGTCATAGTATTCTTCAGCATGTCAAGGCATATTGGGCACATAAGTTCTGAGTGTAAGGAGCGTGGAGAGACAGCGATTTCTGTATTATCTGTTATAGCTTCTTGTGGTGTTCTGTGCAGCTCATACAAGGAGAGTTCCCATGACTTATTGACAGCATTTTGCTCTGTGGTTGTCATGATGGCAATTGATATTGCACTCCTTAATAACTGATAATACCCTAGAACTTGGCCATCACCTAGCTTCTTGAATAATCAGCAAGAACCTCAAGTTCCTGAAATATAAAGAGTAAATATTTTTGATAATACCAAACAAAATTCAAACTAAGAAAACTCATAGCTATCAATCACTGGCAGATGAACTGCTAACAGTATTGAGAGAAGTTTGCTTCCAACGTACTGTACAGGTGAAAGCCCATTTCTATGTAAACACTTTTAGAGAAAAAAATTAAAAATAGCAAAAAAAAAAAAAAATTTGAATACAGTACTTCTCTGGAAAATACCAGTACTGTACTACTAAAAGTTTACTTACCCACTGTGCCACCTGTGCTGGTGAAGTTTTGTTATAACAGGAAAGTTTTTATATTTTAATTAGAGTAAATCAGGTGTCAAAAACTGAAAAATCCATAAAATATTATAGAAAACATTAATTTTTAAACAAATATTGATCAAATGCTCCCATAAACTGTTCATGATTTGTTCCTATATCATTAGGAGTTCATGCATCCTGAAGTACAGTACAATATCATGTATTGTTTTATAACTTACTGTACTGTATTAGTATTTCAGTACATTTAAGACTTTATTTCTGACATCTCAATTCCTAAATCACACTAATACTAAAGTGCAGTACAGTAAATCTGTTTCTATCTATGCAATATTTATAATAATATAATATAATAATGATAATAATAATAATGATGATAATAATAATAATAATAATAATAATAATAATAATAATAATAATAATAATAATAATAATACAGTATTACCCCGCCTAACGCGGTTTCACTTAACGCGTTTTATCATATACGCGGTGCCTCGCCAGAGCTGAACTTTCACTTAACACGGATTTTTTCCACATATACGCGGTGAGTGTCCGGCTCGAGACGCTATTTTTAGATTTGCCCCACCCTGCCTGACTGCCTGTTTTAGCTCATAAAATTCATACAAATTACCCGGCCAGAATATAATTTACATTGCTGGAATTCTTATAATTTGGTGATCATTTTGAATATAAACATCATATTTTTGCATTAGACATACAAATTTTAGATAAAAAATTTTCTCAAATTAACTATGTTATCTTTTGTGCAAAATATATGACATTTATATTCAAAATATTCCTGGTCTTACAAGGAATCCAGCAATGTCAATTATATTATCCTAACTTTAGTTTGAGGTATTATTTATTAAAATTTAGTGGTTATCCCACACATCTCCTTGGGACGGTTGGTGGGGGGTGGGGGGGAGGGAGGGACCGACCGACCATCTGTTACCCTGTGAAGAATTATTTTTTTTTTATTAACTGAAGATATTTGTTTTAGCTCATAAAATTCATACAAATTATCCGGTCTGAATATAATTTACATTGCTGGAATTCTTATAATTTGATGATCATTTTGAATATAAACATCATATTTTTGCATTAGACATACAAATTTTAGATAAAAATTTTTCTCAAATTAACTATGTTATCTTTTGTGCAAAATATATGACATTTATATTCAAAATATTCCTGGTCTTACAAGGAATCCAGCAATGTCAATTATATTATCCTAACTTTAATCTGAGGTATTATTTAATACTAAATGTTAAAAACCCTGGAAGGGAGGATTGGTGGGGGGTGGGGGGGAGGGTTGGGACTGACCGCGCGGTTGGAAGAGGGGGGGAGGCAAGGTGGGGTACTTTGATTGACAGATAGTGTTGTGAAGATTATTTTTTTTTTTATTAACTGAAGATATTTGTTTTAGCTCATAAAATTCATACAAATTACCCGGTCAGAATATAATTTACATTGCTGGAATTCTTATAATTTGGTGATCATTTTGAATATAAACATCATATATTTTTCATTAAACATACAAATTTTAGATAAAAATTTTTCTCTAGGTAACTATGTTATCTTTTGTGCAAAATATATGACATTTATATTCAAAATATTCCTGGTCTTACAAGGAATCCAGCAATGTCAATTGTATTATCCTAACTTTAGTTTGAGGTATTATTTATTAAAATTTAGTGGTTTTCCCCCAAAAATTTCTCTGAGAGGGAAGAGCCAGCGAGTGTAGTGTGAGAGAGGGAGGGAGTTGAGTCCATTATTTGAATGGACATTAACTTGGCGACTGTATTTCTCTTAAGTATTAATTGTGTGCATGTACCATCATAAAATTAAGATGTTATTTTTACTACAACATAGGTATGTGCCTTCAAAAAGTGGAGTTTGGGGGTCAGGCCGGTTTCTATTGGAATTAATCCCATATGTTCTGTTGTTCACTTAACGCGGATTTCACTTAACGCGGGACCCTCTGGGTTCAATTGACCGCGTTAAGTGGGGTACAACTGTAATAATAAATCAAATTTATAAATAAATAAAAATACTAATAACTAGGGCCCGGATAGTTATGCATTTGCATATTTCATATGCAAATGCATATTTTGCCTGATTTCTATGATAAGTGCATATTACCTAGATAACTGCATATAAATGCATATTTTGGTAAAATATTCATCTGGCAGTATCTCTTTGTTGCCACTGAATGAGCACACGTGGTACTGGGAGGTGAGGTGTGGTTAGGTGAAGTGAGGTGAGGTCACGTCGCTTTAATCTGTCGTTTCCACACCTGGTCATGACTCATTGGTATTTCTGGGTTAACCCCACCCCCTGACTGTTGTTGCTGCAGCAGAGTGGACTAGTGAGTTAGTCAGTCAGGACTGCTGCTCATGAAAATGCCGAAAGTACAAAGAAACCAAAATGAAGTGCTGAGATCATATGTAAAGGAATTTGATGCATTTACTACTGATGGAAGTGTACTGTTTTGTAAATATTGTGAAGCACCAGTGACAGCGAGCAAGAAATTTCAAGTCCAACAACACCTTAAAACAAGCAAGCACATCCGACTCGAAGCTGTTAAGTCCAATAGTGCACAAAAGGAGCAACAACTACTTCTTGCATGTTCCAGTAAGTCAGGGCCTGATCGCTCCCAGTTCAACGCAGATTTGTGCAAGGCATTTGTTTCAGCGGATATTCCATTGCATAAACTGAATAACAAGTGCCTAAAGTCATTCCTGGAACAGTATACTGGAAAAAAGGTGCCTGACGAATCAACATTACGTAAGAACTATGTTTCACAATTGTTCAAGGACACGATGGAAATCATAAGGAGAAAGGCTTGTGGAAAGAAAATATGGGTGTCACTCGATGAAACCACTGATGTTGAGCAACGGTGTATTGTGAATCTTATTTTTGGTGTGTTGGGAGATGAAACATAGCGAGGCAAATACTACCTAGTGAATGTTGGTGTACTATCTAAAGTCAACCACTCCACTGTTGCTGGTTTCTTCAACGATTCTCTGCAATTGTTGTGGCCAACGAAGTTAGAGTATGAAAATGTTCTTTTGGTGTGCACTGATGCTGCACCTTACATGTGCAAAGCAATGAATGGACTGCAAGTATTGTATCCAAAAATGATCCATGTGACCTGTGTGGCCCATGGTCTGCATCGTGTAGCAGAACTGGTTAGGTCAAAATACCCAGATGTAAATCAACTGATAGCCAACGTCAAGAAAATCTTTCTCAAGGCACCTTCTCGAACTGCGAGATTTTCAGAAATCGCTCCAAGTACACCACTTCCTCCTTCACCTGTGGTGACAAGATGGGGAAGCTGGATCGATGCTGCAACGTACTATGGGAAAAACTTCGACGTCATTGAAGCTGTTATTGCGACATTCGACCCTGAGGAGGCTCAGAGCATTCAGGAAAGCAAGATCTTACTTGAAACTGAAGGAATAAAGGAAAGCTTGCTCTTCATTGCAACGAATTTTGTGTGCATCTCATCAACAATTACTAGACTTGAAGAAAGGGGACTACTGCTGTCCTCGGCAATTTCGTTGGTTAATGGTGTTCTTGATGAACTGAAAAGTTTGCAGTCTGATGCTTACTATGGTAAACTGAGTAACGTGTTGTACAAAAACAAGGGATTTGAAAAGCTGAAAAAAGTCAGTCAGATAATGTCTGGTGATGCTATTATTGACGAGACGGTACAGCCACTCACTATGTCAGACCTCCTATGTATGAAACATGCACCAATCGTCTCGTGTGATGTAGAAAGGGTGTTCTCAGAATATAAAGCTATGCTGACAGACAACAGGCGGGGTTTTAACTTTGAGAACTTACGCCACCATGTCATCATCAAATGCAACCACAATCTGTAATGTCTGAAAATATGTCAGTCTATAATGTAAATACATGTTCATATATATTTTTTGAAGCACTTTCACATATATATGTTAAATACATTACGTATATTGCTTAATAAACATTAACATTAGTTTATATTAACTATTTTGTTTCCGTATAACCTGCATTCTTGGCTTTATAAGTGACATTTTTAGTGCATATAAATGCATATTTCCCCTGTTTTTAGTGCATATTTGCATGCATATTTCATGGTTTTTTAGTGCATAACTATCCGGGCCCTACTAATAACCATAAATAAATACAAAAATTAATAAATCAATCAATCGTAAGAAACAATGCAGTATGAATGTTGTGTTGTCAATAGTGAGAGAAGTAATTGAGACCATGCAATTTTGTGTAAATGGTGCCATATGGCAGCAGGGTCTACCATTAGACAACACACTATGCCTCCAGTATCTTCCCAGGCGGTAGTACCTCCCTTTTTGATAGCTGCTTGCTTCCTGCTATCTACTATTGTATATGTACACTATAGTATAGTAATATCTCTTAGCCAGAATCCTCATTAGCCCTAACTCTCCAATGCCCGGAAGTGAAATCGGTTTGGAATTTTTCTGAAAAAACTTTCCATTCCGGGTCTGTGACCCAGTTTCCGAGGTTGAAAATCAGGGTCACTTTCTGAGAAAATTCGGGAAAATCTCTGCATTTTTTTTCAACTGGGAGCAAATTCCGAGGATGAAATAATGCGGAATTCTGGGAAATTCCGGAAACTCTCTCCAAATTTTTCTGTACCAAGTTTAGGAAGAAATTCCAAGGATGAAATAATGTGCAACTTGCCAAGAAAATTCTGAGCAAATG